AAAATTATAAAAAATTTTTTTTTTTTTTTTTTTTTTTTTTTATTTAAAAATAAAAGCCAAAAGAAAATATAAATGAACATTATAATAGTATATAAATAATACTAAAATAACACTGACTTTACAATAATGTCACATTTGTTAACATTGGGTAATGCATTAGATAATATAAACTAACAATGCACAATATATTACAGAAAATTGTTAATGTTAGTTAATAAATATACAATCGTCATGCTAGTTCACAATAAAAATGAACTAAGATTAATCAGTATTGTATTTAGTAATACTGTATCTAATAAATATTGAAGTAGTTAATTGTAAGTTCACTACTCAGTTCATCTTATCAAATGAGTCCTTATCATAAAGTATTACCCAAAAATTATACATAAAATAATAATAATAATAATAATAATAATAATAATAAACAAAATATAAACTTTAAGTATAAACAATTATAATGTAAAAAGTTCACATTATATACGGGAGTATCAACACTGTAGTACTGACCAAAAAATAAAATTAAAATAAATAAACTTTACATATAAACAACTATAATGTGAACATTTCACAATATATACTACATGTGGAGTATCAACCCTGTACTACTGACCAAAAAATAAAAATATATATAAATAAATAACAAATTTTAAAATTAATTAGTAATTATACTACTACTACTACTACTACTACTACTACTACCCCTTTTTTTTTTTTTTTGTCTGCTATGTTTTGTTTTGCCCCTTTCATTTTGCCTCTTTAAAAAAATAAAAATAAATTATACTACTACTACTACTACTACTACTACTACTACTACTACTAATAATAATAATAATAAAGATTTGTTTGTTACCACACAGTGACTTTTGAATGTCCGTCAGTAGAGAAAGAAGCAATTAGCCCAGAAAATGATGTAGTTGAATCATCTACCAGCAGGGGTTAACCAGATCAAACTAACCTGTCAAACCTTGGCCTACACATGTGCCAAAGACGTCTATCTAGTGCATGTGAACACAGACCAGCAAGATCAATACTTGCACCCAAAACAAGTATTTTTAGAAGCATATGTAATAAGCTCATGTTCCCATAGACAGAAAAGAGCCAAAGCGAGTCCTTCTCACTCCAAAGGAAGCAGCTGTGGACTCACGTGTTGCTCTTAGTCTCCTCAGATCTCATTTATCTCATGTCAGTAAAGCAGATAGAAAAAAGCAGCATTAGTATCTTATACCGGTTTGTCACTTCAGAAGCCTGACGTGCGTTTCTGCATGCAAATGCACTGCGTGAAGCTTCGCTCGAGTCTTAAGCAGATCAAAGCCGATGTCGCTCTCAAACCCGCGTGGAGTCACCGTGTGCAGTGCGGCATGGAGGACGGAATCAGTATTCGGGACGCGCGGATGGAGGGAACGTGGCAGGTTACGCCAGGAAGCGTCAACAGTCAAACATCTGCATCGGGAGGAAGGCTGAATGCAAACACACTTACTTGACGTAGCAGTCGCGGGCCTCTCTAGAGGACGACATCTCCCAGCCATTGGAGGGTCCCTGTGCGGATGGCCAACTCCCGGCGGCCGGCGGAGGACAGCAGGAGGTCTTGGTCCTGTGACTGCAAGAAAAACACGACAGCGGTCAGGAGTCAGAGACGCTGTATGGAGCAGAAACCGTGTTTAGACTGCACTTCACAATAGTGTCATTCTTCAGTTCAATTCAGTTCAATAACCGTCAATGTTGCAAAATTCAATTATGAAACAGATTCAGTTCAGTTGTAAAGCAGCTCAACAGAAAATGTCATTATTCAGCTTAATTCAGTTCAAAAGCTGATTCAGTTCAGATCAATAACGGTGTCAATGTTGCAAAATTCAATTATGAAATGAATTTACAATAGCGTCATTCGTCAGCTCAATTCAGTTAAATAACTGTGTCAATGTTGTAAAATTCAATTATAAAAAAATGTATTCAGTTTTAAAGCAGCTCTACAGAATTTCATTATTCAGTTTAATTCAGTTCAAAAGCTGATTCAGTTCAGTTCAATAACGTTGTCAATGTTGCAAAATTCAATTATGAAATTAATTCACAATAGCGTCATTCTTCAGCTCAATTCAGTTCAATAACTGTGTCAAGGCTGCAAAATTAAATTATGAAACAAATTCAATTCAGTTGTAAAGCAGCTCTACAGAAAATGTCATTATTCAGCTTAATTCAGTTCAAAAGCTGATTCAGTTCAGTTCAATAACGGTGTCAATGTTGCAAAATTCAGTTATGAAATGAATTCACAATAGCGTCCTTCTTCAGCTCAATTCAGTTCAATAACTGTGTCAAGGCTGCAAAATTCAATTATGAAACAGATTAAATTCAGTTGTAAAGCAGCTCTACAGAAAATATCATTATTCAGCTTAATTCAGTTCAAAAGCTTATTCAGTTCAGTTCAATAACGGTGTCAATGTTGCAAAATTCAATTATGAAATGAATTCATAATAGTGTCATTCTTCAGCTCAATTCAGTTCAATAACTGTGTCAATGTTGCAAAATTCAATTATGAAACGAATTCACAATAGTGTCATTCTTCAGCTTAATTCAGTTCAATAATTGTGTCAATGCTGCAAAATTCAATTATAAAACCAATTCAATTCAGTTTTAAAGCAGCTCTACAGAAAATATCATTATTCCGCTTAATTCAGTTCAAAAGCTGATTCAGTTCAGTTCAATAATGGTGTCAATGTTGCAAAATTCAATTATGAAACAAATTCACAATAGTGTCATTCTTCAGCTCAATTCAGTTCAATAACTGTCAATGCTGCAAAATTCAATTATAAAACAAATTCAATTCAGTTTTAAATTAGTATTATTCATCTTAATGAATTCAATTAAAAATGTATTCAGTTCAGTTCAAGAAATAGTGTCAATGTTGTAAAAATTCAATCAATTATGAAACTAATTCACAATAGTGTCATTATTTAGATCAATTCAGTTCAAAATCAGTGTTCATGTTGCAAAGTTCAATTCAGTTTCAGGTCTACAGAAGACAACGGTCATTGTTCAGCTCAAGTTAGTTTTAGTTCAATGTTGATTAAATTCAGTTCAGTAACTGTGTAAAGTTAATCAATTCTGAAACAAGTTCAATTTCAACTGTAAAGCAGCTTTAAAAAAGACAATAGTGTCATTATTCAGATCAATTCAGTTCAGTAACATTTAACCGCAAAGTGATTCATCATAATGTGTTACAGGAATTGACCATTTTCATTTACACATGAACATCTCATGACTCAATGTTTTCAGTGTCCTTTGAAAATGAATTAAGGCGGCCATGAATATTTGTATTGTAATTTTACAGTTGTGCTGTAAAACAAAATTGTTTATTATTTTACTTTTCTTAAACACTATATTTATTTTACACTGAAATATTAGTAATAGTATAATAGTAATATTTCATGTTTCATGTTTTATTTAGTAGTAGTATTAACAATAATACAATTATTTTATAGCTTGTTATTGTTGATAATTTATTTATATTTTATAAATCATAAATAAACTTTGCATTAAAAAAAAGCAAGATATATCTAATTATTGCTGAATCTATTTACTTTTAAATACTGAATGTGAACTATAATAGCACAAACAGTATATGGAGTTATTAGTCGTAGACTGTGAGCGTCTTTCTCCTCCTTTCTCTAACAGCCTGGACTTCATTTGTGACAGTGATTTAATTATATTAATTATGTAATGCAATCATGCAAGCCTCAAGATTGTCATGCTTCAGTCTTGTACGCTAAGAGCCATGAAATTTATCTAATGCTGAACTGCTGGCAGATTCCTTAGAAAGCCTGGACTGTTTGATCAAAGCAGTGTCAGCCTGAGCTTCACCATCATATAACAGATCAGGGAACGCACACATGACTCACTGTATTAGTGTGAAGCTCAAGGGCGAAATTTACACTAAAGTGCAGCAAAGATAGTTACAGAATCCAAACACCCACCCAAAGTCAAACAGAAATATAGATGATGATCCACTCAAGCAAAGCTGCTCCTAACAATAAAAGCACTGGCCACATGTTTTAAGCCTTTAAAATTCAATTAAAAATGATATATAGAATTTTTATTCATTAATACTGATACAATTTCAGTTTTAGTTTTTATTACTTATCAATGTAATGTATTAATAGGGATGGGCATTTTTCAAAAATTACATTTAAAGGAGTAGTTAACTTCCAGAATAAACATTTCCTGATAATTTACTCGCCCCCATGTCATCCAAGATGTTCACGTCTGTCTTTCTTCAGTCGCAAAGACAACATTCTGTGATCAAATACAATCAACTTGTTCACTCGCTCCACAGCGTATTTAGTTATAAGTGACTTTGTGCTTAGGATTTATCATGGATTCCCTGCTTTTACTGCCAGCAAAGCAAAACATAGTAAAATTCGAATAGTGTTTTTATTTTTCAAATAATAATTACATATTGAATATTCAACTATTTGTGCACAACCCTAATTTATTCAAACTTACCAGGACTGCCCAGTTGTTGGTATGACCACTGCTAAAAAACTGCCCAGCTTTGTTCTAAAAAATAGAATGCATTATTAATGTAATGAAACTCTCAATAGTACAAAATGTGAAAATTCTCTTTTTCAGGTAAATCCAAGGGTAAAAGAAATGTAAACTGAGACTATACATAGAGTCTTTGCCCATTTTAGCCACTGTATAAAAGCTTATGAAAGACACTTAAATTATAGAAGTAATATGATGGCAAAGTGCTAACAGCAAAAATTGCCTCCACATGTGTTGAATGAATGCTGGCAGTATGCACTTAATAGAGAAAAATTACAAGGGGCATGAAATTATTGCTTTGAAATGCATTTGCAGGAGGTCATGTGACATTAAACATCATGCACAGGTTTTGAACTGGTGAAGCTAGTTAGACAAAGAAGCCAGATATTCATATATATACTGTATATATATGCACCTTGCTTATTAGTATTTTACGTTCTCTGATAATTCATAAATAAATCAATCAATCAATCAGAGCAAATACATATACACTGAATATCATCAAAAGGCTGAAAAATATCAACCATATTTTTCTCAGTAGGGTTATATCACCCAGACCTACTTCTCAAAGAAAAAAAAAATAAAAGAAAAAAAAACAATTTTTAAATCGATTTTATATAATGATATCAGACAGAAACAGCAGGATGCAGACAGCAATATGATCTTAAGTGAGCTGCAGTCTGTCAGAGAAGAAACCAAGTAACTGAATTACAGTAATAAAATTCAAATGCTTAAAATGCCATCAAAGACGTCTTCCTCAACTGATGCGTGCATTCAAGCGGAAAAACTTTCGGCCGTCTGAACCTCCTCACAGGATGAACGACAAAATGCACTTTTCTGACTCATAACGAGGTTCTTTGCATTCATTATTTAAACACGACTCCTGTAAGAAGCAACTGTAGATGCCATTTCTTCTAACAAAAATCATCTAATTTTGCACAGATCTTCATTTTAAAGAGTTGCCCGTGGCAACATCTCACTTATGCACAATATTATTCTGAAAGCGAAATTCTGCAGCAAAAAAGCAGAGACAGCTAAATGTGGAATGGATTTAAACATACTAAAAGATTATGAAGCTGAGAACATGACAGTCTTACTGGAGCTGAAAGCATTATCATCAATAAAGCCAAAAATCATATCATTTTATCTTTTATTTAAACAACTGCAGAAATCCTTCAATAAACTATAACGAGGTAAAACAAATAAACGAGCATGCAAGGCTTGGGTTTATGTAAACTGGACATGTTTTAATGCGAGTCCTAAAGGTGCAGATTCTGGATCTCACAGTCTGACCTGAACTCCAGCAGTCCCTGTGAAGCCTATTTTTAGGACCATTTAGGACCAAAACATTTCTGCTGATTTGCAAAAAAAGGCCTAATGTTACCTGATTTGATGATGCAGAGTTCAAAAATATCACACAAAAAAAAAAAGTATATGTGTATCAGTTTTAATGCACTTCTCAAAATAAAAGCAGTCAAATGTCAAAAGTTTTGGTTTTAATGACAAAAAGTAGCATTCAAAATTAACAATTTACAAAGGAGTGGAAAAATGTTGAAATACTCCATTTAATGTCAAAGAACCTAGCATAAACACAAGTTTATAAACTAGATAATGTTTGTCAAGACAAACTTTGATGTTAAGTAAGGCTAGCCTGCCTGGATGGATGGATGGATAGATGGATAGATTGATAGATGGATGGATAGATGGATAGATGCCAAGTAGGTCCACAATACTTTAAAGGTACACTTTAATATTCACATTAATTTCAATGGCAGTTGCTCAACTGATGCCCTGAAAAAAACAAACAAACAAAAAAAAGTTGAAGTTTAAAATCTGACGTCTTTTTCATGGGACCACAGACATGCTTTCATAAGTTGCTTTGTGTTACGTACACTGTGCTACGTAAGCTTGCTTATGTATATGTTATTGTATGGGTGCGTTTGTATGTATGCTTTGTCTGTTTCAGATGCGAAGCTCATTGGTGGATCTTCCTCTCACTCTGCTGACGTTGGACGCTGACGTCTGTGATTGCGCCACCAATGGTCTGCGGCCACGCAGTTT